ATTAAAAAAAAAAATCTATTTTTTTTTTCTTTTTACATATTGTCACCAGTCCAGTTCAGCGTTATTATATAACTGGTGTGGCGGTGATCAGGGACACTGACTGGTGACAGTATGTAAAAAAAATGTAAAATAATAATAATAATTTAATTTTTTTTTCAAATGTGTCAATAATTTTTTTCTTTTTTATTACATTATTATTTTTATTTTTTTATTACTATTTTTTTCAACACACTGTGACCAAAGCAATACAATGTTACCATTGTAACATTGAACTACTCTGGGCAAGTGATCAGGATTTTTTTATTTTTTTTACACATTGTGATTGCTAATACCAATGTATTTCATTGGTATTTGCAACCATTGTTACTGAATGAAACTGATTCATTCAGTCTTTGGTTGTGATTAGCTTTGGTTGGGCAAAACTCATCACATGATACAGATGGGCTGTGATTGGTCCATGTCTGTACCATGTGACTGCTTTGACCAATCACAGCAAGCATTACAATTGTATACAATGAATGGCATGACAGAAAGCCATCCATTGTATACAATTGTCATGTGATCTGCTGTGATTTGTCACAGCGGTCACATGACACTGGCAACTGGGCTGGTGTAGTGATCTATCATCGGCTGTGTCCCGTGGACACAGCCCATGACAGATCGTGCCGCTGCACGGCCCCGTGGCCAGGTGAGCTGCTCCTTCTGACAGGATGTCATATGACGCCCACTCAGAAGGAGGAGTGTCCCACCCGGCCATTAATCTGCTATAAGCCGGGTGGGAAGGTGTTAACGTTCCGCTTTTCCCTCACCGCCCTACATAACCCTTCATGTAGCATTGGGGGGAGGAGCAAAAGGGAATACTATATTGTGTAACTTGAGTGACAGCTCAGAGTCAGCTAGGCCTGTTAACATTGCATCCAAGATGGTGGAGTTTTGAAGTCTCAGGGCTTTTGGATGTCTACAGAATGAAGGGATTTACAGTTAAATAACATACATAAAATGTGTTTAATGCATATATAATTTCTTTAAACATTCTGGTAGAAGGCTTCAGTAAGTTTCATGACTATTTGGAAACTGACTGAAGCCTGAGTTTCATGAAGTTTACATGTCCCTCTAGCATGTCTTATGTGCAAAGTATAAACCTTAACATGTTTACAGGTTTCTATCTCACCTCAGCAACCTCTTTTACCTGGCATTAACACTTGTTCTGTACAGACACTATTTTCATAGGCTCCATGTTAATTGTCAAAATGCAAGATTTAGGATCAGTGAGAATGTCTGGTTACTACCAAGTAGGGGAAAGGAGTTTTGTTTACTGGGTTCATGTCGATAGTGTGGCCTTTGTGGTTCACAGTGACAGAATTGAACTACCTCCATGTTGGACTGACCCATCTGGTATACAACTAACCCCCTCCAGTGAAAGGAAGTGAAAATTATCTTTGTTGTTATTTAACCAGTTTCCATCCGCCCTATAGCAGCTTTACTGTTACAGGGCAGTCGCTCTGTGCAGAATCATATATACACTATATTTCCAAAAGCATTCGGACACCCCTCTAAATCATTGGATTCAGATGTTCCAATCACCTCCGTGGCCACAGGTGTATAAAATCAAGGACCTAGGCATGCAGACTGCTTCTACAAACATTTGTGAGAGAATGGGTCGCTCTCAGGAGCTCAGTGAATTCATGCGTGGTACCGTGATAGGCAGGGGCGGACTGCCAACTCATGGGGCCCCCGGGCAATAGGGGATCATGGGGCCCCTGTGTCCTTGCCCAAACTCAAAATAGCCTATGAAAAAGGTACCAGGGGCATATCATGGGGCCCCCTACCGACCCCGGGCCCTCGGGCACTGCCCGAGTTTCTAAATGGTCAGTCCGCCCCTGGTGATAGGTTGCCACCTGTGCAATAAGTCCATCAGTGAAATGTCCTTGCTACTAAATATTCCACGGTCAACTGTTAGTGCTATTATTACAAAGTGGAAGCAACTGGGAACAACAGCAACTCAGCCATGAAGTGATAGATCATGTAAAAAGACACAGCAGGGTCAGCGCATGCTGAAGTGCACAGTGCGCAGAAGTCGCCAACTGTCTGCAGAGTGAATAGCTAAAGACCTCCAAACTTCGTGTGGCCTTCAGATTAGCACAACAACAGTGCGTATTGAACTTCATGGAATGGGTTTCCATGGCAGAGCAGCTGCATCCAAGCCTTACATCACCAAGTGCAGTGCAAATTTTCGGATGCAGTGGTGTAAAGCACGCCACCACTGGACTATACAGCAGTGGAGATGTGTTCACTGGAGTGACAAATCACATTTCTCTGTCTGGCAATCCGATGGGCGTGTCTTGGTTTGGCAGTTGCCAGGAGAATGGTACTTGCCTGACTGCATTGTGCCAAGTGTAAAGTTTGGTGAAGGGGGAATTATGGTGTGGGGTTGTTTTTCAGGGTTGGGCTAGTTCCAGTGAAGGGAACTCCTAAGGCATCAGCATACCAAGACATCTTGGAAAATTTCATGCTCCCAACTTTGTGGGAACAGTTTGGGAATGGCCCTTCCTGTTCCAACATGACTGCGCACCAGTGCACAAGAAACAGTGCAGTAAGAAACGTGGGGTTTTTGTCTACATTTTTGGTATTGTTCCGTTTATATGGCAAAAATTAAAAACCCAGTTGTGAGTAAATAGAACCAAAAGAAAGCTCTATTTGTGTGGAAAAAAATTGTAAAAAATTCATTTGGGTACAGTGTTGCATGACCACACAATTGCCATTCAAAGTGTGACAGCACAGAAAGCTGAAAATTGTCCTGGGCAGGAAGGGGGTGAAAGTTTCTGGTCATGCAGTGCCTTCGGTGAGGTTGATGATCACAAGGATCCAGTACTGTCTTCTCCGTTGCGCGCAGACATTTATCCAGATTCTCTGAATCTTTTGAGGATATTATTTACTGTAGATGATGATTTATTTAATGTCTTTGCAATTTTACAATAAGGAACATTATTCTGGAATTATTCTACAGTTTTCAGAAACAGCTTTTCACAGATTGGTGAACCTCTGCCCATTTTTACTTCTGAGACACTCTGACTCTCTAAGATGCTCTTTTTATGCCCAATCCTGTTACTGGCATGTTGCCAATTAACCTAATTAGTTGCAAAATGTTCTTCCAGCTCTGTTTTCTTAAATGGTACATTTTACAGTTTAAACATTTAATATGTTTTCTATTTTCTGTTGTGAATAAAATATGGGTTTATGAGATTTGCAAATCACTGCATTCTGTAATTATGTAGATTTTACACAGTGTCCCAACTTTTTTGGAAATGTGGTTGTACATAGTAATAAAAAGCAGACTTGTATATAGTCCATGTAAGCATTCTGTACATATAAGCACAAAAAAACACATAATAAGCACAGATAATTATCACCCATTACTTGTATAGTAAATAATATTTATTGTATTCTTATTTTTTGTATTTTTTAAACATGAAATTCTGGTGACTGCTGTTTTTTGGGGCCCTCTTATGGAAGCTACTAGTATTGTGTAGCTGTATGTAGCAATGGATAGGAGTGAAAGTCAGCAGGGCACCAAGCTATTCAAGTGTGTTGCTAAGCTGTGCGAGTGTGATGGGTTTTTACAAGGGCTCTTCAAAGGGTCAACGGCAGTAGATAGACCGAGAAGTGTGAATATGGTTGATTTTACATTGGCTGGTAATAGAGGGAGAGTGAACAAGGGTGTAAGTGTGATGTATTTTTACACTTAATTTTTACTACTTAGTCTCTTGGAAACCATGAATCATGATCTACGAGGACTTCTCATCCTATAAAACTATAAAGTACTGATACCTAACATAACCAGAACCCCTTAAAGTAACTACTTTAAAAAAACTTTGGAAATTACTTTATTTTGATTTTTATTATTGTCTATACTTGAAGTTGACCAACTTTTTATGTATGCATGTGGCTCTTCTATTTTGATGTCAATGCTGTTTGGTAATGTTTTTGATAAAAAAAAGTTTGAATAAGAAAATACAAGACTTAAGGTGGGAATACCAATTGCTCATCCGACAACCAAGAGGCATTTCTTTGTTGGTTGAAATCGTGGCCCACATTAACCAATCTAAAAAAAATTGTTCATTGGGCAATACATAGTGTTGACGCCTTCCATACAAGTGGAAGTGATGCAGTGTGCGTGTGACCTTGTACCCACGTTTTTCTGGCCAGAACGAGCAATATACACAACAATTAACAGCAATGAGTATAATATAGTTTATTACATGAACTATACACATAAATAGTGATACATAAAAATATAATATGCAGAATTCTGCTTTCATTATCACATTAGGCCAATCTACTTCTAACCATTTGGAAACTCGGGCACTGCCCAAGGGCCCGGGGTCAGTAGGGGGCCCCATGAGATGCCCCTGATACCTTTTTCATAGTTTTTTTTTTAGTTTGGGCAAAGACACAGGGGCCCCATGATACCCTATTGCCGGGGGCCCCATGAGTTGTCAGTCCGCCCCTGCTTCTAACATTTTGATTTTTCATTCGTGTTTATGAAATATCCTTGGACATAAACATCTGGATCATCTTCTGTTTCCGCTCATGCGTGATAGCGGATTTTCTCGTTCACAATATCGTTATCGGTTAAAAACCTCCTGCTCATCAAAAAAGAGAAAATCTTCAATCAGTGATTCCATGAAAATTTTCATACGATTTTCTTATCAAGTGTACGGGTCATTAATCTGCTAGCATAGATTGATGGTGTGTCCCTCCTTTGACTCAGTCAGCTGTGTTTCTTTCTCTATCGTTTGGTTTTTAAGCCTCTTCACAGCATAGCATAGCACAGAGTCAACTTGCTAAATAGTTGGAAAGCAGCCTTTAGCTTGCTACCATCCTCCTAGCAGAGAAGTAGTGAAGCAAAGTCACTGTACAGTTACACGAAGCAAGAAGTACAGACTACATACAGTATATCATGACCAGACATGGCTGCCATTATAGACATCTATGGTTACAAACAGGGGCGGACTGACAACTCATGGGGCCCCCGGGCAATAGGGGATCATGGGGCCACTGTGTCCTTGCCCAAACTCAAAAAAGCCTATGAAAAAGGTACCAGGTGCATCTCATGGGGCCCCCTACTGACCCCGGGCCCTCGGGCAGTGCCCGAGTTTCCAAATGGTCAGTCCGCCCCTGGTTACAAAGTATAAGTAGAAATAGCTTTTTTAAATTATTCATAAAATAATAAAAACATTTTTAAGTGATTCGTATTCTGATTTGCCCCTAAAAGGAATGAAAAACTGCAGAAATATCTGTTTGTATTTCTGCAAAAAATAAGGCACATTTTAAAGAAGTTTTGCATTAGGGCCTTGGAGTAATTGTATGCAGGAGTACTCACAATTACATAATAATATAAAATATTATGATAGTTATTACTACAACTCTGAGCTACTGAGGACAGAGTACTTAGCTGGACAATATAGGCTAAATGTTAGTTCCATGAATGGATCCTCCTTACTTGGCAACTTCTGTTCACAGGTCTGGTCCCTAGTCATGTACTGATCATGCTAACAGCTCTCCTGCTTACTGTTCCCAGATATAAATATACCAATGACTGTAGGGAGGTCAGCGGAGGGGCCCTATCAAAATTTTAGCTGCTTGATAATAATGTGATTAGAGGGTCAGGGTCAGAGGCTCCAAGCTCTGATTTTTTTTTCTTTATTGTATTATTATTATTCTTATTATACAGGATTTATATAGCGCCAAGCAGTTTGCTCAGCGCTTTACAATATAACGGGAGACAATACAGCAACAATGCAGTTCAATACAAGAGGGATAGGAGGGCCCTGATCCTGGGAGCTTACAATCGTATTTGTATAACAATTGTACTCTTCAAATAGGCATACATACATGATGCTTCTTCTACTACAATTATATTACAAACCATGTTGGACTTTCTATTACAAAGCATTGCCTGCTCATAAAGTGACTACTTCTGTCTTATTGAAAATGTAAGACCCAGAAAACATAAACCCACACTAGGAATTTATCAGGCTCTGAAGCATTTATTGGTGTATAGGTCGATCTTTACAGTGAGCTACCATTAGAACTGCTTTGAATCTCGTTTTTGAAGACAGCTTCCCTCTGCAGTAACTTCTGGTTAAGAATGTTTTATGTTAGATTGGTGTAGTCTATTTTTTTTGCCACTAGATGTCCTCAACACTCCTCAAAAGGCAATACAATGGTTGAATTACGCTTTGTCATATAGCGTTACATTTAGATAGATGTTAATATAATTGAAACACAATATCTCTTTAACCAGTTCCATATGTTACATGAAATTAAATGGCAGTTTTATTGGTAAGCAGCTTCAGCCTAGATTCACACTAGGAACCACATGTGAATCGCACAGGAATCACACCACATTCCTGTGCAATTCATTTTCGATTCTGTGTGGTGTGACCAGGGGCGGACTGACCATTTTGGAAACTCGGGCACTGCCCAAGGGCCCGGGGTCAGTAGGGGGCCCCATGAGATGCCCCTGGTACCTTTCTCATAGGCTTTTATGAGTTTGGGCAAGGACACAGGGGCCCCTATTGCCCGGGGGCCCCATGAGTTGTCAGTCCGCCCCTGGGTGTGACTATTCATTTTGAATGGTTTAGAATCGCAGCGCATCTGCACCAAAAACGCACTGGAACCAGATTGCATGGTTGTTTTGTATCATGCGATCTGGCTCAGTCAAATGCACTGCATATGCATCCTGCTTTTAGGGTATTTGACACTTGCAATTAAGATTTGCAGCAAATTGCAAAACACAGACTGTTTGAAGTCTGGTGTGGGAAACGCTTAGGGTTCTCATTGTTTCCCGCACCACACTATTGTGAACTGGGGCCTAAAGATTGATCTACATTTTTAAAAATGTTTCAGAACCTGGTAAATTCTGTGTGCAGATTTATTTTCTCTAGTGAAAGCTTCCACAAGGGCGACATCTGGTTCAATCAGCAAGTGATCTGTAGATAAATCATCTGCTGAATTGGAACAGAACAGAGCAGTAAAAGTTATGTGACCTCTTTATTCGTTCAGTTGTTTTCTTGTGGAACTTAACGGTCCTATGTTTGGTCTATGGGCAGGATAATGTAAATAGACAAATACCTGTTTACATTCTTTAACTTATCTGAAAAATCAAGAAAAGATGCAAACCTTTACTTTTCTTCTTTTTTTTTTTGCGGCCTTGATGGATTGGAGGTGATCTAATGTAAACAGAAACATGTCCGTTTACATCAGCTTGTCCATAGACTAACATTGAGATTCTGTCTGAACCCACCTGAGAAACTGACAGGATCATCTGATTGGAAGCCCTTTGTAAAAGGACCCTAAATCAGCCTGGCAAGCTGTGTTCCAGCACTGAGACCTGCAAGATGAAGGTTATTTTAAGGAGCATCAGGAGTAATAATACATTGAATAGTGTATTCCAGGTTGGAAGCAGGGGTGGACTGACAATTCATGGGGCCCCCGGGCAATAGGGGATCATGGGGCCCCTGTGTCCTTGCCCAAACTCAAAAAAGCCTATGAAAAAGGTACCATGGGTATCTCATGGGGCCCCCTACTGACCCCGGGCCCTCGGGCAGTCCCCGAGTTTCCAAATGGTCAGTCCGCCCCTGGTTGGAAGCCAGACAGTACCTGAATTCTGCTGCCCAACCAATTTTGTGACTTCACATTCGGCCCCAATTTATCCATTTTCAATATCACTAAATCTACATACACTGCTCAAAAAAATTAAAGGAACACTTTGAAAACACATCAGACCACAACGGGGAAAAATATCATGCTGGAGATCTATACTGATATGGACTGGGTAATGTATTAGGTACATAAGGATGCCCCATCATTTGATGGAAATTAAAATTATCAACCTACAGAGGACTGAATTCAAAGACACCCCAAAAATCAATGTGAAAAAATGATGCAGCAGGCTAGTCCATTTTGCTGAAATTTCATTGCAGCAACTCGAAGTGGTACTCAGTAGTCTGTATGGCCCCCACGTGCTTGTATGCATGCCTGACAACGTCTGGGGGCATGATCCGAATGAGAGGACAAAATCTGGATCAGGGCATTATTGAGCTTCTAGACAGTCTGAGGTGCAACCTGGCAGCATCAGATGGACCAAAACATGATATCCCAGAGGTGTTCTATTGGATTTAAGTCAGGTGAGTGTGGGGGCCATTCAATGGTATCAATTCCTTCATCTTCCAGGAACTGCCTACATACTCTCACCACATGAGGTCGGGCATTGTCGTGCACCAGAAGGAACCCAGGACCCACCGAACCAGTGTAGGGTCTGACAATGGGTCCAAGGATTTCATCCCAAATACCCAATGGCAGTCAGGGTGCCATTATCTAGCTTGTAGAGGTCTCTTTGTCCCTCCATGGATATACCTCCCCAAACCATCACTGACCCACCACCAAAATAGTCATGCTGAAAGATGTTACAGGCAGCATAACATTCTCCATGGCTTCTCCAGACCCTTTCACGTCTGTCACATGTGCTCAGGGTGAACCTGCTCTCATCTGTGCAAAGCACAGGGTGCCAGTGGCAGATCTGCCAATTCTGGTGTTCAATGGCAGATGCCAATCGAGCTCTATGGTGCCGGGCAGTGAGCACAAGGCTCACTAGAGGATGTCGGGCTCTCAGGCCACCCTCATGAAGTCTGTTTCTGATTGTTTGGTCAGAGACAGTCACACCAGTGGCCTGCTGGAGGTCATTTTTTAGGGCTCTGACAGTGCTCATCCTGTTCCTCCTTGCACAAAGGAGCAGATACCGGTCCTGCTGATGGGTTAAGGACCTTCTATGGTCCTGTCCAGCTCTCCTAGAGTAACTGCCTGTCTCCTGGAATCTCCTCCATACCCTTGAGACTGTGCTGGGATACACAGCAAACCTTCTGGCAATGGCACGTATTGATATGCCATCCTGGAGGAATTTGAATGCCTGTGCAACCTCTGTAGGGTCCAGGTATCACCTAATGCTACCAGTAGTAACACTGACCCTAGCCAAATGCAAAACTAGTGAAAAACAGTCATAAAAGATGAGTTTGGAAAAAATGTCAGTGGTCTTCATCTGTAAAACCATTCCTGTTTTTGGGGTCGTCTCATTGTTGCCAATCTAGTGCACCTGTTGTTAATTTCATTAACACCAAAGCAGCTGAAACTGATTAACAACCCCCTCTGCTAATTAACTGACCAGAACAATACCCCGGGAGTTTAATTGACTTGATGATGTACGCTGATTAAAAAGTGTTCCTGAAAGGCCACATTAGCATGTTCAAAACTCATCTTCAATTGAATTTGTTTTTATTTGGAAGATAATGCAGTACACCCAATGTTCCTGAATTGAGGTCCTCTTGCCTCCATCTTTAATTTTAATCCAAAATCGGCCCTGAGACAAAACTCCCTGTTTAGAGGATTTGCCACCTCTGCCTACTTTATGTGTGCACACAGAAAACACCCACTGATAGTTTAAATTAAAGGCTGTGCTAATGTATTCATGTCTGTGCTGATTGAATCAGTGAGTGTATTAGAATTAGGTTCCTGCCAAGGTTCACCGACTGCAGACCCCCTCCTGCCGAGTTCAGTCCACCACCAACACCTTTACCCGTACCTTTAGCCCATTGCTTTGACTGCATTCCCAAGAGCCGACCCACATACTCTGAAATGTAGATCTGCAAGGCATGCTACGAGCATAGAATGTAACGTAGAATAGAACAGGTTGCAAAATCCTGCTTCTGGTGGCTTAAACAAAAAGCAGTTTCATCCAGTAACTGATGAAGTCACTAGTAATGAAAACAAGGATTCCAAGGTTAGGTGCAAGGTAGGGGAACATTTCTTAGTCAAGCACGCATTAGAGTGAAAGAGAGCGAATGTGAAGTAGTAATGGAACATTCCCAAGGATTGAGCTCTTAGTGATCTTAAAATTCTACTTAAAACTTAAAGCAGAATTTCACTCTCTCAATCAACAGTGACTATTTTTAATCCTTATTTCTGGTAGTATTAGTAAATAGATAGGAAAGTATATCGGATTTACTTATTTTAAACATTTTTTTTTACATTTTTTCAGTAACTTCCTGGCTTCCATCCCTAGGCAGAAAAGGAGAGGAGGAGTTTTCTCAGCTAAGCACACCTTCCTGCCTGCATGCTTCAGCT